TTTGCACCTGTTATCAAAAGATCATCAACATATAACGATACAATTAAAGAGTTGGCAGTGCCTTCTTCCATCACATATCATATGGCCTCATTCAAGCTTTTGTGGAACCCCTGATTCTGCAAGTAAGAGTCAATCCTACTATACCATGCACGTGGTGCTTGTTTTAACCCATATAAGGCTTTATGTAGCCTATACACTTTATTTTTATCAGCTTCTACTTCAAATCCATGGGTTGTTCCACATATATTTCTTCATTTAGTCTACCATTTAAAAATGCAGACTTAATATCCAGATGAAAGACTTTTCAACCATGAGCTGCTGATAGTGCCAAGAGAAGCCTAATAGTATCCAACCTTGCTACAGGAGCAAAAGTATCAAAATAATCTACTCCTAGCATTTGAGAAAACCCCTTTGCAACAAGCCTCGCTTTGCATTTATTCAGAGAGCCATCTGCATTCATCTTTCTCTTAAAAATCCATTTCACACTAATCACTTGTCTATGATTTGGTCGATCAACAAGAGTCCACGTCTTGTTTTTCTCAATCATTGCAATTTCTTCTCTCATAGCTGATTTGCATTCCTTATAAAGTGCAGCTTTATCAAATGAGGTAGGTTCTGCTATTGCAACTTGTCATCTGTTGTATATGTCTTGAATAGAGCGAGAACCTCGAATAGAAGTTTCATCAGTACCTTTATCAAGATCAAGTTCAACACCATCATAATTCTGACATTGAACAGCATCATTTGATTCTTTGATTTGCTTCTCATTCCAATCCCAACTAAGTTCTTCATCTTACTAGAGTCAATTTGATATACGTGGTAGGCTTTTGATTGTAGACTGTATCTTACAAATATTCCTTTCACCGCCTTCGACTGTAATTTGTCTCTTAGCACATTAGGGACATGTTGATAACAAATTCACCCAAAAATACGTAGATGTTTTATAGATGGCTTTCTTTCGAACTACACTTCATATGGAGTTATAATTCTTAAAGCTCTTGTGGGAAGAATATTCAACAAGTATACAGTTGTATTGGCTGCTTCTGCCCAAAAACTCTTCGGTAGTTCCTTTTCAAATAAAAGACACTTGGTCATCTCTATTATAGTTCTATTTTTCCTTTCACTAACTCCGTTCTATTGAGGAGTGTAAAGAGCTGTGAGTTGATGTTGAATCCCTTCCTTCTCTAGATATTGAGAAAACTGTAAAGACTTGTACTCTCCACCATTGTCAAATCTAAGAATTTTAATTTTTCTCCCAGATTCTTGTTCAACTCTAGCCTTAAACTTCAAAAAGAGATTGAACACTTCAAATTTATGTTTCATAAAATAAATCCAACACATTCTGGAAGCATCATCAATGAAGATTAAGAAAAACCTGCTTCCATTCAGAGATTCTTCAATCATAGGACCTCCAATGTTAGTGTGAACTAGTTCAAGCTTCGTGGTTGCTCTACTTGATCGAGTAGATGGAAGTGGCTTCCTAGTAGATTTCCCAAATTGACATGTATTACAAACTTGTTTTGATTCAGTTAAGAAAGGAAAATTCTCCATCAAGCCTGACCTGCTAACTTGTACCAAGGAACCAAGGTTACAATGCCCAAACTGTTTATGCCAAAGTGTTGTCATATTCGATTTTACCTCAAAGGCAGGATAGCAAACATCTTCCAATTTTACAGGGAAGTATTTTCTTTTCATGGGAACATTCATAACAAACTCACCCGATGGATCATACACAGTACACGATTTATCTTTAAAAAGTAAGACATAACCATCATCCACCATTTGGCCTACACTTAGCAGATTTTGAGCAATATCAGGAACAAGCAACACTTCTCTGACATACATAATTCCCAAGGAAGTTTGAATGTTGATTGTACCGTTCCCTACTGCATATAGATATTTTCCATCGCCTATTTCAATACTAGATCGATGCAGAGTATCAAGTTTAGAAAAGAATTCTTTGTTGGGGGTCATGTGATTTGAACAACCACTGTCCAACAACCATTGATTTGAGTCACCCAACTTGGGTCGTGTCAAGGTCATAAACAATTGTTCTTCGGCAACATCAGCCTTCTCATCTGCTTGTGATGCCTTATCATGCTTCTCTGGTTTATTTTTACATACCTTTTCAATGTGACCAAATTGATTGCATGCACGACACCTGACACCCGGTCTGAACAAGTAGTAGGCCTCTAAATGATTCTTTTTCTTACAGTGAGAACACATCTGAAACTTGCTCTTATTCCCATGAGTTTTATTATATTGAACCCTTTCTTTTTCTTTCTCCTTCTGATCACTTAAGCCTTTTTTAATTCTTGACTCACCTCCTGCTTTTCCTTTCATCTTTATAAATAAAACGTTTTCAATTGTATTATCACTTCGCATTGCTCTCCTTTGCTCTGCAGCTTGGAGTGCATTCACTACATCAGTAAGAGTCAAAGTTGATAGGTCATTTGACCCTTCTAATGATGTAATCGTAGATTCAAATCTTTTTGGTAGAGACACAAGAACTTTTTGGACTACACGACTTTCAGAAAGATTCTCTCCCAATAGCCGCACGTAGTTCACCACTTGCATGATTTTGTTAATGTAGTCTTTAACATTTTCAATATCCTTCATTCTCAAAGTCTCAAACTCCCTCAATAAATTCATCACCTGCATCTGTTTTTTCCTCTCCGAGCCTTGGAATTCTCCTTAAGTTTGTCCCATGCCTCTTTTGCTAATTTGGATCCCATTATTCTTGTAAATGCAGCATCCGAAACAGCCCCATGGATACATGCTAGCGCTCTGTAACGCTTAACAACTTCCTCAGAATGTTGTTTAATTTGTGCAAGGGTTGCATTCTCTCTCAAGACAGGTACTTCATCTCCAGATTCTATGACAACCCAAAGGTTGTAACCATGAAGATAGGCTTCCATCTTAACTGACCAAATTGCATAATTCTCTCCATTGAAGTTTGGTGGAGATTGATGACTAAGAATATTGCTGGAGGCCATTTTGCATGAAGATGGTTTTCTTTAGATTTTGGGAAATGGCTTTGTTTTTATTATCTTACAAACACAGTCCCTTAAGATCAAAATAGGCTCTAGATACCATGAAGATAAAACAAGGACAGAAATAAAGTTGCTGTATGAAGCAACTATTAACAAACCAAACAAGGAATTTAAAGAAGAACAGAAAAGGTTCTGATGAAAGGCACACTTTATTCATATGAGACATCCCTATTTATACACAAAAAAGGTAGTTACATGCATAACACTTGTCAAGACATGGATTCAAGTGTTAAGGGATGGAATGGAAGTTTAAAAAATAGTTGACATGTAATAACTACAAGTAACTGCATGTCTTAATTCAAATAATCAGCAAGGCACACATATGCAGACACCAGGCCTTGTAAGCATTATTCTCAACACTTTCTCCATTGCATGATACTTCTAGCAGGGGGCACTTGGAGACGACAAAATTGCTTTTGAGCCATGATCCTGACCTTGCTTTGCAATATGACATTGATGGTCACACACCGTTGCACCTAGCAGCGATTAATGCCTATATGACCATTCTTGAAGCATTTCTGTCAAGCTCTCCCACTTCCATCGGATATTTGACTAGAGATGGAGAAACAGTGTTCCATCTCGCTATAAGATTTGGAAAATATAATGCATTTCTATATTTAGCACGGCCTTTCAATTTTACCAATCTTCTCCGACAGCAAGACGGATTTGGAAACACCATATTGCATCTTGCTGTCCTAAGAGAGAGCTACCAAGTAACTCCCTCTTCTTTTCTCTTTCTTTTTCAGCAATTTCACACTCGAATTCTTGTACACGCATAGGTTTTCGCAGTTCATAATTTCCTATGATCAGGGTTGAGCTCATTTAGTGGCAATTGTCATCAATTATTATACTATAATCATATACACGTGAGTTGGAGAGGAAAAACGCCACAAGAGAATTTATTTTCTCTCACGTATCTTTGTAATTGAATATGTTATTAATAATTTAATGTTATGAATATTTTCATTCATAATTAACAGGATCTGTAGTAAATATATATATATATATATATATATATATATATTTGTAGGGGCTTATTTTACCCTCCACATAAAATATTCAAGAATTACAAGCAAAAAGGAACCAATGTGCTGGCTGGAAGTAATTCTAAAGACACAGCTCAAGTTTGAGTTTCTGTATTTTTCCTCAAATATGTTCCATAACAGTAGTTACTGAGCTTGAGAACAGAAAAACAGTTTCTGCTGAAAATTCACTGATCAGATTCTGGTATTATGATATTTGTTCCCAGAGTATTATCGCAACAGATGTGCTTGTACATTTTACTACTTAACTTAAAAGTTTTCTGTCAAGATGATTTCAGTCAGTGAAGGACATCATTGATACAACTGCCGTGGACATCGATCATCACAATCTTAAAGGATACACGGCGCTAGATATCCTTAAACATGCCGGAGTAGATGCACAGATCAAGCATTTGGAGGCATTGTTAAAGAGAGCTGGAGGTAAAAGCAGCAAGGAATTCTCACCTCTTACGCCAGATATTAAACAAATCAATCCGTCAATGGTGACACTTGAAAACCCCAGAGGTGTAATCCAGGAGAAAGAACTAAAAGTTTTTCACCCTGGGCTTGATTCAAGAAGTATTGGTGAACATCCCAAAGACTCCAAACCTAGCATCGAGCCGTCAGTGCATTTGGCTACATCAAGCACGGCACCGAACTCAACAGAGAAGTTTCTCAAGAGTCACTTTGCAGGGTCTCTACCCCAGTCTTGGAAGGAGAGAGTGGTTTTGCCAACTCAATGGCACCCGCAAAAGCATCTCAGTAAATCGAGGAAGGGGATGTGGGGGGAGTCAAGGCAAATGAGAAGAGACTTTTTGAACTTCGTTCTCCTCCTTCCACCATTCCTATAATTAGAAGTTTATAATCCACAATGGATCGTGGATTCATGCTTTTGGTCTAGAGTCAAGCTCAGAAGCATTACGAGATGGACCCCAGGCTTCTTGAAACAATTGCAGGAAATGATGCTTTGGCTTTAACCAGTTTGGTTCGGGAGAATGAAGGCATTCTTGAACAAAGAACTGCCAACTCACTGAACACAGCTTTACACCTTGCTTTGAGGTTTGGAAGCAACAATTTGGTGATGGAAATCATTAAGTTACAACCAAATTTGGTGGCAACGGAGAACAGGAAGCTAGAAACTCCCCCGCATGAAGCTTGTCGTGCGGGAAATGCTGAGGCAGTGATGCTGCTGTTAGAGAGCAACCCGTGGGTAGCATGCAATTTGAACTGTGAAAATCAAAGTCCATTATTCATTGCTTGCAGCAATGGGCGTCTCAATGTGATAAAGCTGCTTTTGAATCAACGCTGGTTGCAAGGACTAGAAGATGATGCTGATCAAACTTCTGCTCATGAGGCTGCATCAAAAGGGCACATTGGTATGTGATCAATTTTTCTTTGCCAAGAGTTTCATTGTAAAACGAATTGAATGCTAATTATTACAAATTTACATCATCTGACTAGCATGTTTTGGTATTTTTAGTTTGTTCATGACATCAAATTATGTGTACTAACATATATTCCGGATCCAACCATCAGAAATAATGAGGGAGATACTAAAAATCTTTCCCGACATGGTGAAAGGTTGACAGAAATGGACGTTCACCTCTGCACTATGCTTGCAGTAAAGGGCACTTGGATATAACCAAAATGCTTCTAAAGCCTGATCTGGATCTTGCTTTCAGCTCGATAGCAATGGTTATACGCCATTGCACTTGGCAGCTATGAACGATGATGTTGGAATTCTTAGAGCATTGGTGTCAATTGCCCCCACATCTGTTCACTGTCTCACAGAAGATGGAGAAACTGTGTTTCATCTTACTGTAAAGTTCAATCGATATAATGCCTTTGTATTCTTGGCAGTGGTTTTCAGTGAGACCAATCTCTTCAACCGACCAGACTCGCATGGGAACACAATCTTGCATGTAGCTATCTCCCAAGGACATTATCACGTATGTATTATCTCTTTCCCTTATGTCTGTGAGTTTAGAGATACGTGTATGTATTGTGGAGTAATGAATAATGATTCAGTGACAGAAACTAACGAATTAAAAACTGTAAATGATGAAAAGAAAAGGCCATATGCAAGTAGAAAAAAAGCACTTTGCTACACATTTTGCACGATATAATGGGATTAAATTTGGAATTTCATTATGCAAGTTGATTTCTTAAGTTATTGTTTTCACTTTTCTTTTCCAATGAGTTCATTACAGCTGGCAGACTACATCATGAATATAGCAAGACTGGATGTTAA